TAAAACCATGTGGTAGTATAAAGAAGAGGCATACATATACTTAAAACCAATGGTAAGTATAAAGAAGGAGTGTAAATATAACTAAAAATAAGTGGAAGTATAAAAAGAGGCATAAATACACTTAAAACCATGTGGTAGTATAAAGAAGAGGCATACATATACTTAAAATTAATGGTAAGTATAAAGAAGGAGTGTAAATATACTTAAAACCAAGTGGGAGTATAAATAAGAGGTGTGAATATACTAAAAACCACATGGAAGTATAAAGAAGAGGTATATATATACTTAAAACCAAGTGGGAGTATAGATAAGAGGTGTAAATATACTTAAAACCATGTGGAAGTATAGAGAAGGGGTGTAAATATACTTAAAACCAAGTGGAAGTATAAAAAAGGGGTGTAAATATAATTAAAATATACTTAAAACCATGTGGAAGTATAAAGAATGGGTGTACATGTAATTAAAATTAAGTGGAAGTATAAAGAAGGGGTGTAAATATACTTAAAACTAAGTGGAAGTATAAAAAAGGGTGTAAATATAATTAAAATTAAGTGAAAGTATAAAGAAGGGGTGTAAACATACTTAAAACCAAGTGGAAGTATAAAGAAGGGGTGTAAATATACTTAAAACTAAGTGGAAGTATAAAGAAGAGGTGTAAATATACTTAAAACCAAGTGGAAGTATAAAGAAGGGGTGTAAATATACTTTTGAGATTAGGGATAAAAGCTATAAAGAGGTAGCAGTATATAGTCGAGAATTTGTTATTGCGGCGAACGTGGGCGATGGACTCAGATCCTTGACCACTGAAACACATTGTTACAGATATTACGTACCAACCGACCTTCAGCAGTTGCTGCTTCTGTTGATACGTGAGCACGAGGAAGCGGACACAATGGTAAAACATAACGTATTGTTTTCACTCCATGGCCGTGATCAACGATCATAATTATGCCGTAGGAAATGACAAAGAGCCGTAATTCACAAGAGAGGCGCGGAAATCACCGTATCCAATCAGTCGCTCGCAAACGTTCCTACGTCGTTTTCTTTCTAGGACAAATCTATGTATATAAAGTAGGAGATGTTTAATGTTTTGGCGTTTATATTTTTTTATTTGTACGAACACTGCAAAGAAGAAACAGGTATACTTCTTTATATCACGTTTGAAAATGAATGTTTCGGTAAGTTATAAATTGAAACGTTAAGCAGTCTTTTTTTTTTTTTTTTGGTCAAAACTTTAAAGTAACGGAAGCAAAAATATGTAAGAATTAGCATTTTCTCAGTTGAATGGACGAGGATTTCCTTCTTGCAAAGTAATAACTGGTCTGGAGAAACTTCAGACAAACTTTCAGAAGTTTTAGTGATGATAGATAAATGCTTGCAATATAAAATATAACAGCATCTAAGAATGAAGAAAACACGCCGTTTTTGCAAAGATAATGTTTAGAATTGAGTTTTTACCCTATGAAAAAGTTTAAACAAGATTGAATCTGAAAAGAGCATTAAGTCGTCTGCGTGAAATCTCTAAATTAGGAACATTTTGAAAAACGGCGAAACGGTTGGTCGTATTCCTTAAATAAGGGACCGCAAGGGAATTTTTCAGTGATGGTAAATATCATATATTTGGTGCACGAGCTTAATGTTGTTTGAAAAGTAGAAAACAATTTGTTATATCTATTAAATCAGCGAACGTGGGGGAGGGGGTTACGTAGCAACAGACCTTTACAAAAGCAGTTGCTGCTTTCATTAGCACGTGAGCACGAGTATTGACAAATTAAAAACTTTCATACATTAAATTAAAGCCTATGTCTTATTTCTAATAGAAAAGATCCAGATGCACACAAATGCAGTTTTTGTCCTAGGCGTCTGCTCTAAATTTTGTTGATTTTTTTTTTATTGTAAGTTCAAAGCTACACAATGGGCTATCTGTGCTCTGCCCACCACGGGTATCGAAACCAGGATCCTAGCGTTGTAAGTCCGCAGACATACCGCTGTGCCACTGGGGGGGGAAATTTTGTTGATATAAAACATACATTTTATATATTTGTTTTCAGTTTTTGGTGATTCAATAATTTGAGCTAATTTGACATTTTGTTTCCAATGGAAAGTTCTGCATGTGTAACGTACTAGTCTAATTTTCACGTCCGTCATGGCCAGGTGGTTAGGGCACTCGACTCGCAATCTGAGGGTCGCGGGTTCGAATCCCCGTCACACCAAACACGCTCTCCCTTTCAGCCGTGGGGGCGTTATAATGTGACGGTCAATCCCACTATTCGTTGGTAAAAGAGTAGCCCAAGAGTTGCGGTGGGTGGTGATAACTAGCTGCCTTCCCTCTAGTCTTACACTGCTAAATTAGAGAAGGCTAGCGCAGATAGCCCTCGTGTAGCTTTGCGCGAAATTCAAAACAAACAAACAAACAAACTCATTTTCACTTCAGAAAAAAGTATCACTCATTGAATATTGCGGATGACAGATTAGGGACGTAAGTAGGTAGTTTAACAGTATATTGTGAATGAAGTATTTAACTTTGTTTTTATAATCAAGCTTAATGTAATCTGACAGTTGTGAAACTATACATATTTAACGTAAGTAGGTAGTTTAACAGTATATTGTGAATGAAGTATTTAACTTTGTTTTTATAATCAAGCTTAATGTAATCTGACAGTTGTGAAACTATACATATTTAACGTAAGTAGGTTTTTAACAGGATATTATGAATGAAGGATTTAACTTTGTTTTTTATAATCAAGCTTAATGTAATCTGACAGTTGTTAAACTATACCTATTTAACGTAAGTAGGTAGTTTAACAGAATATTGTGATTAAATTATTTAACTTTGTTTTTCTAATCAAGCTTAATGTAATCTGACAATTGTTAAACTATACCTATTTAACGTAAGTAGGTAGTTTAACAGTATATTGTGATTGAATTATTTAACTTTGTTTTTTCTAATCAAGCTTAATGTAATCTGACAGTTGTAAAACTATACCTGTTTAACGTAAGTAGGTAGTTTAACAGTATATTGTGATTGAATTATTTAACTTTGTTTTTCTAATCAAGCTTAATGTAATCTGACAGTTGTTAAACTATACCTATTTAACACAAGTTATAGTAGGTAAACTGGGGCCACGTGGCTCAGAGGCTTTGCGCTTTGGACTCGAAGTCGGTTGATTGCGAGTTTGAGGCTTGCTCGCGACATGCTATTCTGTCCTTAAGCAAGACACTTTACCATAATTGTTTGTTTACCCAGCTGTACAATGGTTAGCAGCTGTTAGCTGGATGGAGTGGCATCTCGTCCAGGAAAGGTTGTCATCATTTTCATCCGCTTGTGTCACTAAAGCCTCAGTTCAGCACCAGATCCTGAGTGGCATCTCTGTATAGAGTGGATTTGACCTTCAGTTAGTAGATACACAGTTATAAAACTTCAATCTAGTTTGAACAAACAGGAGTTATGTTAAAAAAGAGATATACAGGACACATTTTACAAATGTAGAGGTTATATAAACAGCTTTGTTTAAAAATCACTATTTCTATAATATATCAAAAACTACATAAACAACTTCATGACTGGTTGTGCTCAATTTGGTAGCATTCACTACATTTATGATTCTATAAAAAGAGAGATTTCAGAAACATGACTTTTCTCAGTTGTTTACTATTTATACATGTATAATTATTGTAACTCACGAGAGTAATTAGGCCAAGAAATTCTATTAAGCTTCCATAAGGAATGTGGATGAGATATCTTTTTGATGTTCAATATATATATATATAATGCCCCCCCCTCCCCCAATGGCACAACGATATGTCTGCGGACTTACAACGCTAGAAACCGGGTTTTGATATCCGTGATGGGCAGAGCATAGATAGCCCATTGTATAGCTTTGTGCTTAATTCCAAACAAACGTTTTCGTTAAGTGCACAAACATCTGAATTTCAAATCTACGCTGCATTAAAAGACATACTTAAAATACGCCAAGTATGTAAAAGTGTGTCTTAATTTATCCTATTACACTTTACTTGTTCGTGGGAAAATATTTCAAACGTATATAAGCGGATGCCAAAAAACTTGGCTCTGCGAAGCATAAAACCCTAGATAATTGGAACACTGAACGTTAAATTAGAGATTATTTTTAGACAAAAATAGATCTTTTCTGATTAACTTGACATAGTTTGGTCAAAAAATGGGTGCTTTGGTCTTTACATTCTTTTTTCTGTTATCAGTAAGTATAGCATATAACTTTTTTATTTCTTTAACACAGTATTCCAATCTTTGACTTGTATCCACCCATTTTCTATGTTTGTTTGTTTTCATTATAATACGTTCTTTTGCGTTTACTGTAATAGCTTCTAGATTTTTAAAAGCTCACCCTTTTTTTTTCTTATGCCATGATTTTCTATTTCCATTTTTTATCTTTTATTTGTTTTGCTTTCATTCGTTTACATTTATTTTGTATTCTTTGATTTTTTCTATTACTAACGATAAATCTATTCTGACACAATACCTCCTTTTAGTACATTCAATATCAATATCTATTGTTTTCTTAAACACCACAGCATGTCTCCTTTTATTACATTCAATTTCCATATCTCTCCTCCCCCCAGTGGCACAGTGGTATGTCTGCGGACTTACAACACTAGAATCCGGGTTTCGAGCCCCGTGGTGGGCAGAGCACAGAAAGTACATTGTGTAGCTTTGTGCTTAATTACAAACAAAATCCATATCTGTTGTTTTCTTAAACACCACAGCATGCCTCCTTTTATGTCAGAACTCAATTTTCTCTTCTTCAGAAAAGTTTCAGGATTTGGTTAGTTTGTTTTGGTTTAGTTTGTTTTGAATTTTCGTGCAAACCCACACGAGGGCTATTTGCAATAGCCGTCCCTAATTTAGCAGGGAAGGAAGCTAGTCATTACCACCCACTGCCAATAGTGGGATTGAAAGTCTTAATAAAGCGTGAATTACACTTTCCAACATGAGGGTCTGACTCAAGTAGGCTATCATTGTTCACATAAACCGGAAAATGCAGCTCCTCTTGGCATACATGTACACAATAAATAAACCGTTAGTAGAAAATTAGTCTAATTAGGAGTTAATTTCCTTTCTATCTAATTGTTCTTCAGAAATCTAAATATATATTTTTACATTAAATTTGGTCCCCTTCATCAAACATGCTCGCCCTTTCAGCCTTGGGGAGTTACAACGTGACATGTTCAATTTCACTATTCAGTGGCAAAATAGTAGCCTAAGAGTTGGCGGTGGGTGGTGTTGACTAGCTACCTTCCATCTAGTATATCACTACTAAATTAGGGACAGCTAGCGCGAAATTCAAAAACAAACAACACTTAAAATTTGGCAAAAATTCGGGGTTCGACTCCCCGCGGTGGAAACAGCATCTTGCCTAATGTGGCTTTGTGCTAAAACAAACAAACAAAACATACATAAAATGGAAAACTAACTTCTTAACTCAGCGCAAGGACTTAAGTTTTATATTGCTCATGAAGAAAGAAATTTGAAGATTGTTAATACCTTCTCTGATCCTACCCAGCTAAATATAATCTTTTTTTAATTGCGTACTTTAGTTTTTTTATTCGTGAATTATTTCACTACCTATATTGTTCTAATGCTATATTCTAATTTGATAGGTGAATTACATGGTGGGAATTTAAGCGAGAAATCAAGGACGGTTAAGGATTTTGTCATCATCCTACTGAATGTCTCATTAAAACATAAGGTTAAAAACATTTCACTTTCAAAAAATGTTGAAAGGTACAAAGTACTGGTAGAAAACTATTTTAATGGGATATAACTCAAGACGAAATGTTCAATTTTGTTTTCAAAAACGTTAATGAACGTAGCTTTTTGAGGCATGAAGTGTTTTAATGTGGTTGGACGGTTGCAGTATTTCACGACTTTCATGTGGAGAGCTAGTAGATCGGGTTCAATTCAAATGGATTATCATGAAACCAACTTATCAGTTTCAAGGTCTGGGTTGTTTTAAACATTAGTAGAGTCAGACTCAGCTTCTGCGTAGCACAATCATGATTTCTCAGTACTGTTTGAGTCTGCATGGTGAAATCCTTTTTTACTTCAATATGGGGTTAGGTAGCTTTAAAAAAGTAATGTCGAAGAACTGTCTGAACGAATGTGTTTCAAGAACGACATCGAAGATCAATAGGATAAAAATTCGAAGATGAGCAGAAGAAATAAAATCATAAATAAATGATGGAAAAACACTTGTAAACGAAATGTCTCAAAGAATAATCGAATTGTTTTTGATGTAACGCATCTTTGTTCGAAAAAAGAAAAATTCAAATTTTTGACTAGTTTTTCAGGGCTCATAAGAACCTTGTTGAAGTTCGTAAGATCTTTAAGTTAACGAGAGGCTATCTAGATTATGCCATTCATGGGGAGACATATTTTAAAGGTAGGTTTAGTTTTCTTACAAGAAGCAAAAAAGCTCAACTTAAAAGAGGAAACTCCTTGAAGCCAAGATGGCAAGAAGCATTGAATACAGAAGACCCTTCAAATTTGAAAACTGCTATAGTAGGAAGTCAAAAGTAAATTGTCAAGGTTTTCAGGATGCTTCGCTTTAGATAAATAAATGTTTGATACTTGTTGTCAAAATACTTTAAAGATGATTCACAATTAAATACCTTTGTTGTTCATGAACTAATGAAAGTGCTTTACTATTGAACGTGGCGTCATCTATCGAAAGCTTGGAAAGATAAAATTGTCTCGCTTCATTGTCTTCAAAGGCGATTCAGGTCCCTGCAAAGGTAAAACAAAAGTGATATATATATATATATATATATATACACGTACTCTCTTTTATAGGGATTACTCCTATGGCTTCTCTGGGCATGTGCAGACCGCAGTTACGGTGCTTCCTTAGGTTACCACGACGCTACTGGACTGTATGGTTATGCTAGTGACACTTATGCTTCAGAAGTTCAAGTAAGTAAATACAGCTAAAATACAAACCTGCAAATAAAATAACAGTGTTATTTTAACAATTTATTGTGGTTTTAATCTTTAAGTTTGATATTTTTTGAAGTTTTATACTTTAAACTTTGAATTGACATAGCTCTAAAAAATACATGTTTTGTATGTAACTAATGTTGTTGCTACTAGCTATCAAGTTGTGTAACAACAGCCAGAATGATGCATGTACTATACGTACAATAATCTTATTTTTCTTCCTAAATTCCCAGACTTTTCAGAGTCACTTAATCGTTTAACGTCAACAACGTACTTTATATTTAATATTCCAAATATCTTTCTTTTTCTTCTTTTTTATACCCACTAAACAGTTTAGAGAGGCATTGCAGCAGTAAACATATTCAATATCAAATCAAGTTTAAATTCTAAGTCCCCCTTACCCCAGTGGCTCAGCGGTAAGTATGAAGGCTTATAACAGTAAAAATTGGTTTTTGATACCTGTGGTTGGTACAGCACAGATAGTTCATTGTATAGCTTTGTGCTTAACTACAAATAAACAAAAATATAATTCTAAATTTGATAATAATACATTTTAATTAGTAAGAATAAGCTGTTTGGTTAACTAACCATAACAATTGTAGTTCATGAACAATAATGATATATATATATAGCGCCTAAACTACTACTATGTCTGTCGTATCCCAGCAGACCTGATGGACTCTAGTATTGGCGAAAGGCCTTCATATGGAGTCGGGGCGTCTCGTGATTCTTCTTCATTTAAATCTATCTTTCACCACAGTGAGGTCTACTTGATCACTGTTCTCTTTAATTAATACAATCCTTCCATCTCTTCTCCGGTCTCCTTCTACTCTGTCTGCCTTTCAATTTCCTCTCTGCTGCCCATTTCACCAAAATGTTCACGCCAATCCTTTGAACATGTCCATACCACCTCAAGCTCAAATCCATTATCTTCTCTCTAATGTGATTAACCTTCACCTCCTGTATATTTTTTTGCGAGTGCTGTGTGATCTCTCAAATTCACACGCCTAATGTATCTCAATCACTTTATTTCTGCCTCTTCCAACTTTTTAGATGACATCCCTTCACTACCCATGACTCTGCGCCAAATAGCAGGATTAGACTGAACACGCTTTTATACAAAAGGCTCTTGAGCTTCATTGACATTTGTCTATCATATACTATCCCTGCAATTTCCTGACATACGTCCCTTGCACTTTGTAATCTGGCCTATGTCTTTCTGTTCAATTCACTTTTCTCCTCTTCCCAACCTTTCAGGTACTGGAAACTCTTCACTTTCTTGAGCTTATCCCCTTGAACCTCAATATTCAGCTCAGTTGGATTCACTGTTGACGACGCTATCATAACTTCTGTTTTTACTCAGCTCATCTTCATTCTATGTCTGCTCAGCCCGTTATTCCATCTACATACCATTTTTTCCAGCTCCTCCTCTGAGTATGTTCCTATATTATCTGCATAAATCAGTTTCTTGCCCTTTCCCTATCTAACTCCCTACTGATGTAATCCAGGATAGCAGTGAAATAAGTGCTGAGCCTGAGGGTCCAAAACACATTTATACTCTTGTCATTGGTACTCCATACATGGCCATGATCACATATATTTGTTCTGACGCTCCATATCTCATTAATATTGATGGAATTAATCTTTTAGTCAGCCACCTTGTCATATACTTTCTCCAAATCTAGGAAAGCCCACATTCTCCATTGTTGATACTTCACTTTCTTTTCCATTAATTGCCTCACAATAAATGTAGCATCAACTGTGCCTTTCCCCTTTCGAAAACCAAACTGCCCTTTCCCTAGCTGTGGTTTCCATTATTCTTCACAGTCTCTCGTCGATTATTCTCTCACTAACTTTCATACAGTACACTAAGAGTTTTACCACTCTACAATTTTTATATTCATGGATATTGCCTTTCTTCTTGAAAATGGGCACCAATATAGAAACTTTCCATGTCTCTGGTATCTTTCTCTCACTCCATACTACTTAGACCACTCTCTCCAAGTGCTTTTACCTCATAACTTCATCTGGTCAAGGAGCCTACCCATCTTCACTTTGTCAATCGCTCTCCCCCCTTCCTTGATGGACACTTCTAGTTTAGCATTGACATTTGGTGTATAGTTTGGTAATCACACTTCAAACCGATTTTCCTCGTTAAGCAGTACCTCGAAGTATTCCTTCCGTCTTCCTCATCAGTTACTTACAATTTTCCCTCATTATAAACAGTGAACAGATTTCGACTTGTGTTGACTGGTTTCTGCTTTTAGCAATTTCATAAAAAAACCTCCACAATTTTACACTTCAATTTTCATAGTTTTATATCAATATATTTGAAGGACAATCTGGTGAAGATACTAATTCATCGAGCACTTAAAATAACCAGTAAATAGGGATTTTTACATAAAGAACTTAAAAATACTAACAAAGTTTTTAAAAATGCTTTTCCATTAAATATTATAAACAACATTATTCGTGGGTATTTAAATGGCATAAACATTATTGAATTGTTAAATAGAAATGTTACCAAATACAAAATGGCTTTAGTATCAATTACCATATACAGATAAACAAAGTTTTAATTAGAAATCAAGTGCATAAGTTATGCAATCGAGTTTATTCAGAAGCTGTATTAAAATGTACTATTAAACTCGAATGCAGAATATTTTGGGGTTTAAGGATTGAGTATTTATATTCAAGACTTCAAATGTTGAATTTGAATAAAAATGTCTTAGTTTTTAAGGTTACAATGAATACACTACCTCGCGAACAAGAACTTGTACATTTAACATTAACGGCATTTTACATCATTAAGAAGCATGCGCTAAATTATGTAATAAGCCTGTAAGTAAAGGATAACTTGAAGTTAACGTAAGAGCAAATAATGAACAGGAATTTAACACAAAGATGAGTCGGTGCTACTATAGTTTGCGGTCTACACAGATACTATCATCATCACCGTTTTAACTTTTGTTTATTTGCAATTGGCGCTAGTCATAAGAAATAACGCTTTTAAACTAATAAATACAAAATACAATTACATAACGTTTTTGGGGCAAAAATAATCGGGATTAAATAAATTCCAAGAATCAAAATTGTCAATTTATAACCTAAATTTAAGGTACTCTTTTGAAACACATAACTTATTAAATTATTATTATTTGCTGAACAAAAACGTGGATAGATATAAATTATTTAGCAAGAAATTATGTTTTAGTGAATCATTAAAACTGTGATGATGATAGTATCTGTGTAGACCGCACGCTATAGTGTAAATATATTTGTAGACCGCATGCTATAGTAGCACCGATGAATCTATCAATACATAGGTTTTAACCGAAGTTAGATAAACAAAAGAACAATATTATCTACTAATAAAGAAAAGTGAATTTTGAAGAAAGGTGTTATGAGCTTGCTCAATAACATTGAAGATGCTTTATAGACAAAAGTTATTATGAGTATTTCCGAACTCTCATAGCATTGTACACTGTATTGTTATCCTACTGTTGGTCTAATGAGAGATGATGTATTAATATTTGTGTAAATATGCTGTTGACATGCATAATTATTAATTATTTGTTCTTATTATGTATTAGTTAACCTGAAGACAGCTTCAAGAAAGGATATAGAACCTGTAGATAAGAACCTTCTTGAATTATTATAATTTTATCAGTGGCAATTTTTTTACCGTTTTCTATTATCATTTGTTCCCTTTTTTATTTACAATTTGTGTATTTTTATAGTTCCTTTAGGCCTCATTAATCTCAGCCCTTGAGCGATTACCCACTTGCCCAAGCTATTCTTACGCCAACTTGCTTATCAATTAGATTTATAGCCCAAGCTGCTATTTTACCACGCGGCCTGGAGAGTTAAAAAAATTAAAGTAATCTACATGAAAATATATCGAAGTAATTAACCTACGCATACTCTTCATACATTTACTAACGTAGAAAAACATATGATGTCAGATGAAGAAGAAGAAGATATTCAGTCAAACTTTGTTACTACCAAGTGATATTTCTGGTTTTATTGTTAGTGTTGATTGGAGTTTTATTAACTACCGTGACTTACAGTGGCTTAGCGTTAAGCTCGATGATTTGTAATGCTACAATTCAGGGTTGGATCCCTGCTGTGGATACAGCAGAGATAGCTCATTTTGCAGCTTTGTGTTTAAATAAACAAATATCAATAAATGTGATCGTTTTTCAAAAAACTGATCTCGTTCAGCATTCAGTGAAACTCAAATGGAAGCAGAAGTACTGTAAAAATGTTGAATACAAGTCATATCAAACATTACCAGTGCCTTTAAGCTAAGTTAACATACGTTCGAACTTAAGCAAAAGTTTTAAACTTTTGTAGGAAGTTAATCGAGTAAAGAGATAGCAATGTCAGAAAAAATGGCACCGTTAATAACTACATCAGTAACAACGCGAATTGGGTAATAAATGGCACTTTTTTTTCTCAAAAAAAAATTTAAAGAAAATACAGTACAATTCTATATCTAAAATTTCTAAGTACGAGGTTCCCCTTCAGTTTGCGTTATTACTGGTGCCATGTTTAATATATATATTACTTTACGTCGTTACAGGTGCCATATTTACCAGTGTCATTATCACTGGTGGTTAACTCAGAAAGTGCTTGTTTTGAACTAGTACTATTACTTTCAAGCCTGAAAACGCGTACTTCACGCCTTACGCTTTAGTGATTTACATCCAAGGACACTGGTAAGCAGGTAAATTTTTCACAATCACTCGGTCTTAGTTCGTTTCACTGGATTCGGGTTTGTTATCAGTAGGGGTAATAATAATAATTTTAACGGTTTTAATCTTAACATAAAGCACACTGGTAAGCAGGTAAAATTTTCACAATCACTCGTGCTTAGTTCGTTTCACTGGATTCGGGTTTGTTATCAGTAGGGGTAATAATAATAATTTTAACGGTTTTAATCTTAACATAAAGCAATAAACCCCTCTTTTCACTGTGATGTATTTGTATTGACGTTTGATAAAAGCAACAACAATATTAACTTTATATTTCTTTTCGACCTCAACAGTTTAATGTCTCTTTTCATTTTCACAACTTGTACAACTTCGCAGTTCGAGGACTATACTAAGTTACTCTAGAATCTGTATAACTAGTTTCATAATTCACGACTTCTAGTTATATGTCTCATTTCGCTACTTTAACTCAATATCCATCTTTAATACTCTCACTTCGAAACGAATTTAAAAAAAAGTTTTGTTTGTAGTTTAGCACAAAGCTACACAAGGGGCTAGCCGTGCTCTGCCCACCACGGCCATCGAAACCCGGCTTTAAGCGTTGTAAAAAAAAAGTAAAAAATAGTCTTAATCGGTACCTTCACTCTTATCAATCGAATACAGATTCGATACTTGTGCTACTACTAACCATGATAACATAATTGTTATAATACTATGTTGGAGATCCTAAACCAAACATATAATTAACATTAATCGATTTATAGTTTAAAGTTTTATTTTTTTTATTATATTATATTTAATTTAAAAACTGCTGAATGTGTATTTCCTCTTCATTGGTTTCATGTTTATGTGTTTCGTACGACTTATGAATGATTTCAAACACAACCATTTTTGTATTATTTTAGGAAGTGCCACAACCATACGACTTTGGTTATCAAGTAAAAGACGATTATGGAAATTCACAGTCGAGACAGGAAGCTGGCGACGATTACGGGAACAAAGTAGGTTCCTATAGCTACAGGGATGCGTACGGCATTTATCGCAAGGTAGAGTACGTAGCGGATGCTGACGGTTTCAGAGCTAAAATCAAGACCAACGAGCCAGGCACATCTAACGACTCCCCAGCCGATGTGAGCATCGTAGCTGAGGAACCTGTTGCAACGTATCAAACAACTGCTCAAGATATCAGCGAATCTCGCCCATACCAATACGACAGCTTTCCAGTTGTAGTTAACCCTTACGCTTCAGTTAGAAGATCTTATATCACCCGTATCAGACCAACTCAGTTGGATCACCCACAGGAACCAATTTATACCATTGCCCAAGACGTACCTTATACACCAGAAACCGGTGTGGTCTTTCCAAATTCAGTAGCTGTTCCTGACGGCCACCACGTTCTTCGGCCCGTCCACACCACAGGAAGTAATAATATTTTTATACAGACACCGCAATACTTTCCGAACGTAGCAGGTCAAGAACAGGTTTTTGAGTCTCGCCTGTACGAGAAGCCTCTTCAGACGTTCGAACCCGATTATGGTTCGAAATATAACGATCTCAATGTATACGCAGCTGAAATTCAAGAAAGAAAAACCAAATTACCGACATATCAGGACAAATAACCATTACATTTTTTTACCCGAGTTTTTACGAATTTGGCGTTTTGGAATCAAGAAATATATGTTTGTTAAACAAAATTAATTTTTACTTACTATTTTGTCCTTATATGAGGAATTTGGAATTTGTCAAGATTTCTGCTACTTCGTAAACTTTGCATTTTAAGAACTTTAATGTACTAACTCATAAATTTTGTCTATGTTAGATATCCTGATGTATTTACGGTGTCTTTAAGATAATATGTTATTCTTTTTTCATTTCTAAAATGCACCAACTATTATTGATGTAATGTTTTTTTGTAACCCAGAAAGGTTTGAAAAACTCATTTGATAAGTGTAGTGATTATGTTGTACGGTATTAAGGTAGGTTATTCATATTTTTTAATAATTATAACATTATTGTAAGTGTTAAGAAAATGATAAAAAATAAATAAATGCCTAATATTCATTCCAGGTTTACTTGGTGCCGGGAATTGTTTCCTCCAAAATACATGATTAATTAGTATTATTTTTGCCAAATATCATCTTAATGGCAACTACACTAGTTATACCTGAGATATGCACCTTAAAAACTGATAAAGTCTCAAAGACTAAACGTCTTTAGTAAATACTTTTCATTTTCTATGAGGCACAAAAACGTTAAATGTTTTTTTGTTCTGTAAATACTACTTTGCTTCTAAAGAGCAGCTTCAGTTCATCTACTTCTTAGGAAGAAATATAATGGGTTGGTAGAAAAGGAAACAGAACTTAAATGAGTAAGTCTGAACAGTTTCTGCTTAGAATGAAATAAGTATTGTACATTGTTTAATGTTAACAGTCAAGGCGTATCTAAACTCTTTTCATAACCTGAGACTCTATAATATTTTATCTGATACATATTACTATAAGGATTCCTACCCCTACTTTCCCATGTGGATCAACAGTAAGCAAGGGCTTAATAACGTTGAAGGATTCCTACCCCTACTTTCCATGTGGATCAACAGTAAGCAAGGGCTTAATAACGTTGAAGGATTCCTACCCCTACTTTCCATGTGGATCAACGGTAAGCAAGGGCTTAATAACGTTGAAGGATTCCTACCCCTACTTTCCATGTAGATCAACGGTAAGCAAGGGCTTAATAACGTTGAAGGATTCCTACCCCTACTTTCCATGTAGATCAACAGTAAGCAAGGGCTTAATAACGTTGAAGGATTCCTACCCCTACTTTCCATGTAGATCAACAGTAAGCAAGGGCTTAATAACGTTGAAACGAGTTAAATCTCTGCGGTGAGCACAGTACATATAGTCCATTGTGCAGCTTTGTGCTAACAACAAAAATCCAATCCATAGACTTTTTTCTGCCTAAAAGATTCATTCATATTAAAATTGCTGTTTTAGAGATAAAATCTAAAAGATGTTCACAGTAATGTTAATACATATACAAGTTGAATGCCCTTCATATGACACGAAATAATTAATTTTTCTTCCCCAAATTATATCTAAATAAATGTTTTATGAACATGTTTTCTAAAACTTAATTATAATATAGTAACAATATATGTATGGAGAATGACCATCCTATTTCTTGTATTTCACGAAACAATATTTTTTATGTATATTTGGTCATCTCCTTTAAGTATTACTTGATTAGCATTTTCACTTCTATATATTTTTAAGTTATGTTCAAATGTTCTTCTTGATAAATCCTTATAGATTGAAATATGCGAAAAACTGATTCTCAAAGACATATTTCTACTTGGTTAACTGTGTGACCCTGCAAATTATTAATTTTGATCAAAGGTCTGTGAATTGCAAATCCTCCATCACTTGGAACAAACATGTTCTTATAGTATAGTGGTGAGTACATTTACCATGAATATTGAGAGAAGGTGTAGTATATGTTACACCCTGTCTAAAAAGGTTCAGGTCGTGCTTTCTAGACTGTCAAAAGTTCAGTTTATTTGGAATTTTCAACTCCGCCTCTTGCTATATAAAGCCATAATTCTTCTTCAATAATTATCGTTTTCTATAACTTTGACCAGACTGAAGCCAGAAAAAGGCCCACCAAAGATTCATGATGAAAAATAAACTCCTCCTTGCTGAGCTGAACAAGTTAACCAGATCCCAATAACTCTTGGAAGACACCTAAACCTTTGATTCTCTGAGCCAATTGAGGAGGATTATGAATTTTATTATGAATTTATGGGTTTTCTTTTTGGTCAGTCTTCCTGGTTTTGGCTTTGTTATCCTGCTGAGCTAGAAGCGCGCTTTAATTTTGGCATTTTCAAAACTGAAATGTGCTGCGGGTTATTATAAAGCTGTAGCCGAGGGTTCCAATTGGACAAAATTTGGAAATGTTGCATCAATATTTTCCTTGAAAACCAAGCAAATGTGATGGGAAATTTCAGCCAATAATCATGATTTTTTTGTGCGCCAGCAATACCAAGCGTGGGGCGCTCGTATATCCAATACGATTTTATTATTCATCACGATCTTTACCAACCTACCCCAAAATCTAATTATATGTCCAAAGTAGTGCACGTCCGTTTTTCATATATAGATGAAAGAAATTTAAAAAGACAAACCTACTAGTCGTGGCAGAAAGCATCGTCGTTTCGTGCAAGTTGCGTGTCGATCTGTACCGCAACAGCCGAGATATTGGCGTGACAGACAGACAGTCGGACGGCTTTTCATCGTTATGTAGGAAATGTATAATTACTGAGTGCGAGGTGCCTGATATTATTCACCTGACATTTATGGTTACATGTGGGTTCTATGGTCAGACCTAGAAAGTCTGAGGTTCATACATAGTAATCCACAATTCAAAACTGCTGACCACAGGAAGAGCAACCAGTCAGCAGTACGCGCCGCCTATACGGCTACCAGGACCGGTCCTAGAGTACAGGGGCCCCAGGAGCAAGAATTATTGGTGGGTCCCACTGCAACAATCTACATGAAATTATATATATGCTTTAGAGAGAGGGAGACAAAAAATATAACTATGCTTGATGCATCTGAAATTCAATTTTTAGTAATGTTTTACCCAGTTTTCAAACATAACAAAAAATTGGCAGCAGATGCAATAATAACTGATGGCTACTACTAAGGAATAGCGGGATTGTCTGCGATTTTTGTAATGCATCCACAGGTTTTCGAAATTGCATCATATTGTTTCCCCTCTCTCCATTGGCAAGACAGCCAAGGTATTGTGATGTTCTTGACTCATTGTTGATCGCACATCTGATTTTATTAATTTCAGTTTACTGAAAGAGCGTTCAGCACTAGCCACTGTAACTGGCAAAGTTAGGTAAACTCGGAGAGCTTTATTTGTTTGTTTGAATTTATGCACAAATCTACACAATGGGCTATCTGTACTCTTCCCACCAATGAGTGGCACCAGTTGGCAATGAGTACTGTTGAGGTGTTGCCTTTGTTTTAGACTATCAGTTAAAAATTAGCGACGGCTATGTACATATAGCCCTTTGTCTAGCCTTGCACGAAAATTATGAAATAAAGAACCATAAATGTGCATTGTCTTATTTTATATTAAAAAAGAGAGAAAATCCTTTTTAACGAGAATTGAAGCACGTCATGGAGCTGTTAGTCGAAAAGTGTAAATAATCGGCTCTCACGCATATAACACCATAACAATTCCAAGCCAGATACTGTAGTGAGTGTTTTATTATTCTTCGATTACAAACAATAATTTTGTAATCAAGGCTATTTTTAGGGAAATTAATTTTTCTATGGAACACTTTTAAAGTAATTACCGTTATATTTAAGAGTAACTTTTAAAAACATCACGATTACGTATAACATTGTATGCGAGAACTTAGAGAACACTCATTTTTATGTTATCAAATGTAAAAGAATGGAATAGTTTCACATATGTTACTGTGTTTGAACAGACTGAAGGAAAGTTAGAGAAGTTTTAATAGAATTTGTCAGAAAGTTGACCATTACACGCACAGAATTTGATTACGATTAGGAGGTTGAAGCTGAAGAATGAAATAATCTGTTTGTTTGCTTGGAATTAAGCACAAGCTACACAATGGTTTCTAGCGTTCTAAGTCCGCAAAATAATCTGCATTCTTCAAAAGAAAGAAAGTTGTTCTAAATGATATGCTGGAATTATGCCAGACTGTATATGTCAGATTTCGTTTCAAAAGTATAATATCCTACAGCGATAAATCAGTTAGTCTTGACGAATTCAGGTTTAAAGATAAAACGACAGTAAATGTTAATAAGCTAGGTTCTTGATCTATAATATGAAATGATAAAACACAATCATTTTTTTTATCTACTGTTAGCTTATTCAATTTTGTCACAATCCTCTTTTCTTCAGATTCTTCGTGACAGTGGCCACCAGTGCATGTTGCAGTAAAATTGGAATCCACACAACGTTGGGACATTAATGCAATAAAAGAAAGTCCCTGTAAAAACACGTTGAGAAGGAAACGACTTATAACTGTCATTAATTTCATTTTCATATCGGTCTTGACAAAGAACAGTTGCTAGATAAAATAAATTTGATTTATTATATGTTACAGTGCAGTCTTGTGTAAAATAGCTTTTGTTAGTAAGTTACTAATGTCCATCTATGACGTACGAGAAACATTATAAAATATTTTGGAATAGTTTTTGAAACATTTCTCTTTTGATAATTTTGAGATACTTAATCTGTACAAATCTAAAGCTTTTCATATTATAAATATTCATTAAGATTTATTATTTCGTGTCAAAGTTATCTTTTCCGCATGATGGATTTGTATTTCAATATATTGGTGCTCTTTGGCATATTCATGATTATCAAAAACAAGCAAACAATAGAAATAAAATTATACTATAGAAAAACTTGGAATTATACACCTGAACAGCATCTTCCATTAGTCAGGTGTGTGACTTATATTACTACTACTTATTTTGGTCAGGGACACTGCTTATACTGGAAACATTCCTGGCTATGCTGACTAGTGACAAGACTTATAAATATAATTTATTACTGGCAGTCATGGTTTACATTATTAATTTAGATAATGGTCAGCTTTACGATTTACTATGATTATTTCTGCTCATACGTGTAAGAAACATGACTTGTACTGTTTTTACAGGTCAGGAACATAACTTGTACTGCTTATACTGGTCACGAACATGATTTACTTCATTACTGCTTATACTAGTCAGGAAGATGATTTATATAGTTACTGCTTTTATTGGTCTAGAACATTACTTCTACTGCTTATACTGGTCAATAACACGATTTACTTCCTAATTTCTATATTGATCAAAAAAATGAATGATACAATTACTGTTTATACTGGTCAAGGACAACATTTATATTGTTTTTGGTCATACTGGTCAGGGATACGACTTATGGTACTTTTGCTTGTTTTATTAAGCGAAATTATATATATATACAGTATTGCTTATAATCCTCGTGGACTTGGCCTATATCATCACTGGTTATACTTGTAGGAGCATGATTTATATTATTACTACTAATACTGATCAGGGACATATCTTACTCCATCATCTATTATTGAATATTTTGGTCAGGGACACAAATTATATCACTACTGCTTATATTGGTGAGTGGTGAGCGGCATGTCCTACATAATTACTGGCTAGTGATATTACTTATAAGCAGGGACATGGCATGTTATTATTAGTTATTCTGATTAAGAATATATATTATATTACTGGTGGTTATACTAAGAACATGACCTAGCTAATCATTACTTATACTCTTCCAAAGACAAACGTCATTTACATCATTACTGCATAAACATCCCAGGAATAAGACCTATATCAAAACTGGACATACCAGAGAGGGAAAAGACTTAGATCTGAACTGACTGTATTGGAGAGAAACATGTCTTATATCAAAGTTGGCTATACTGGAGAGAAACAAGATTTATACGTACGTGTGAAAAACCATAGATGGTAGTGAATTAAGCTTGTCAAAAGTGCATCTGCTAAAGGCAGGTGGTAACTATGGGGTTCTAGGTTAATTTTTCCTCTCAAATATCTGAGAATAGAGTGGCAACTTGAGCTTATTTCAATATAGTGAGGCTAAATTATAATGGAAATCAAGAAAAACAAATGTGAAGATAAGCAGTTTAATTAATCTAATATTTTACTTCTTTCTGTTTATCCAATCTTTTCAACTCTTTATCTCCTCCTCCCTCCGTGGCTCGGTAGTAAGCTTGAGGGCTTACAATTCTAAAAATCTCGGTTTAATATTAGAGGTGGGTACAACCATTTCACAGCTTTGCGTTTAAACATAAACAAATGAACAAACAAGTAAACAAACAAACTTTATCTCCAGCTACTAACCAAACAAACTTCATCTCTAGCTACCAAACAAACAAACTTCATCTCCAGCTACTAACCAAACAAACTTCATCTCTAGCTACCAAACAAACAAACTTCATCTCTAGCTACCAAACAAACAAACTTCATCTCTAGCTACTAAAGAAACAAACTTCATCTCTAGCTACTAAAGAAACAAACTGCATCTCTAACTACCAAACAAACAAACTTCATCTCTAGCTACTAAAGAAATAAACTTTATC